AAGTGGTTCACAAAAGTTTGAGGAAGCACAAGAAAGCATCATCAAAGTGCAGGGCATAGGGGTCCAAAAAGTGATGATCAGCATGAGTCAGCACAAGGATCCAAGGGTCTGGCCCATGGCCACCGCGCCCTCAGGAGGCCGCTCCAGAGCAAAGAGTTGATCCTACAAGAGGTTGCTCCAAGTTTTGAATGAGCTCAAAATGCATGTCTTTTTCGTTGTTTCCGTTTCTTGGTTTCTTGTTTCTTTGTTTCTTTGTTTAGTTGTTTCTTTGTTTCTTGGTTCCTTCCGATCCTTCCTTCCTTCCTTCCTTCCTTCCTTCCTTCCTTCCTAATTGTGGCTTAAAGGTACAAATGTCAATTGAGTCGATTCAAGTCCACCAAATTCTACAGATTCTACCACAGTATACCCTCCTCAGAACTCTTGGTTCAAATCCCAAAAAGACTGTTGTTGATCAATCCCTACATATTAAACTAAACCTAAGCTTGGGATTTGATCGCAGTGTCCTGAGGGGGATGCACTCTGGCTTCAAATGACAAGCAAACACTGGCAATATCATGAGCGCAAGCCATTCCAGCCACAAGAAAGCTTTAGCTGCGGGGTAGAGCCAAAGCTAGCTTTCACACCGTGTTGGACTCCACCTACGTTCTGCTTTGGACTTCCCAATATTCCACGCCTTGCACCCTGTCAGGGCCAATTCTCTATTGAGGACATCAACATCCTGCTGGTACATGTCAGCAAGGCAGGAGCAGAGATGGCATCAAAATGCATCAAGCACACTTAAGCGCAACAAGCACAAAGCTCCAGTCTCATCCAAATCACCTCTGCTTCATCAATTAATCTGCATTGCTCCAACACCAATGTCCGCCACAACGGCGAAACATGTTTCGCTTGCTGCAGTCCTCGACTGCTGAGTTTTGCAGAGCCCCTGACATGAAACTGGCTGCCAGTGTCTGCTGTCTTTGTTTGTTGTCGACGTATCCCAAATGCAAAGGATAAGCAGGAGGAATCATCATGCTTGGCATCCAACGGAGAATTTGTTGGCTGTCGCCTTGCGCCTTGGTCCGTCTTGATTAAACATCTGAACTACCCATACCACGCGAATGATCCACTTGCTTTCGCTCTCGTGTCGCACGCATAGCGGCAAAAGCCCCAGACCATCACAACAAGTCTCAAGGCAGCCACGGCCCCGCGGCCCTGGGGCACCTGCAATCGCTGGTGGGCGGCCGGCGTGCAAACAGCAGCTTTTGAAAGCTGGTGGTTGTCTTTTTTGAGGGCGGGCGTAAGGCGGCAAGTGCTAAGTTGCGATAGGTCCTAGATGTTTTTTGAGACACTTAACTTTCAGGCTCTTCCAACCTAGATTCCAAGCTCATCCAAGCTGTAGTCAACCATAACATCATGACTCATGACTACTTTTTTCAATCCTATCCCATAGTTCCCAAGCAATACAGGACTTTGTCCATCAGAATGGGTTGCGTCAAATGTCCAACCTGTCCCAACGACGGGACATGAGATGTCCATCTCCACACCTCACAAGTCACCAGACCAAAGAATCGTTATTGACGCATCAACTGTGGCTTCCTAGAACTGACACATCCAGGCGTTTAAAAGGTTTCATGCGCCAAATCACTTTCATAATCAAGTGTTCACTCGTCGGACTTTGCTCAGGCAGCTAAGGTCTAAGTTGTGGGAAACTGATGCCAAATGCATCTTCAGTATCTTCATGTATCTTCCTGTTTGCCAGTACATCCTCATGCGAAATTCGGAATTGGGCCCTTGGCCAAGTAGTCCTCCAAGACTTGTGACTCGCTCCTGCAAAAATGGCGCGAGGATATGGTATCGCCCCTGTGGGTCGTCAATTGTAAAATAATTGGGATATGTTGGCATCATCGGGAAATCTCTGTAGATCAAACACCTTAACCGTTTAACATCGTTTAACCCTCATGCATGGCCCATGGACCACAATAAGCGTTCATGGTCAGAATGTGTCAATTGCTGACCCAGGCCCACAGCCACACGGCAACTCTGTCTATATAATATAAAGGAGAAGCAAATTCCAACTGAGAGCAAAGTATCTGCCAGCACTGGAGCCTGGAGCTTACTGCAAGAATCAACGTCGAAAAATGCCTAGCTGCTTGCCCGCAGGAAAGCACTCCGACTGGGTTGCCAGCTTTGTGGATAGCTCGCCGACTATCTTGAAGGAGTTGATGAAAGAGCTCAACACCTTTGGCGATGATTCCTAACACTTAAGAGTGTGTCATCTGGATGGGCTTCACTCTCACTTTACTTGACACTACGGAAGGCACAAAGCCTACTCAGTCAATAGTCCAGCCTTCCTAGGGACCTTGATCACAAACTTTTCGCAACCTTCCTGCGTCAAAAGGCACCACATCGGACAGCTCTCTGAGTGTTTGCTCAGCTTGCTCTGGTCCCAAGTGACCACAAAATCATGCGACACAAACACCATCTGCAAGTGCTTTGCTCTTCCATACTCTTGCATGCTGTCGTGCATGCTGTCTTGCATACTGCTCTTGCATCCCATCTCCTGCGGGTATGGCTCGGCACCCGCCAAGTCCGTGAGCCAATGGCAGAAGTAAAAGGCCACATCCCGAGATTCGGCACCTGGCTCCAGAAGAAATGGCGAAGCACTCCACGAAGCACAAAAAGCACGGTCTGGAGAGTCCCAGTGTCCATGTTGGCCCGAGGCCGAGACCACCGCAGAGTACGTACCTCACAAACGACTCCTGTAGCAATGGCCGCACTACCATTCTCAGGAACCCGTGAGGTTCAAGCAATCGAGAATTCAACCTGTTTTAGTTCAGCTTGCATGGCAGCGTCTGGACAGCATGAGTATTCATCTCATGTGATGTAAAAACATGTAAAAACTGGATGCTGTTGAACACAAGAAGATTACACAAGTGTTGCTTCGTTGATCCAGTGAGGGCACTCTTTGAACTTGGTGAAAAGCGCCCCAGGAGGAGCTTCTGCCTGCCAGATTCAACGACTTCAAGAAAAAATGGCACCGGCACATGTCAATCAATCATCTTTTTGTGCAACTTCAAATCTGATCTCTTGCAAACGCATGAAGCCACTCAACGATTTCAGCATCTCAAATGTCTCAAATGACTGGTGCGGTCTTTGCGCTCCACATGGCCTTTAAGGGCCACTGGGTCAACCAAAGGGGGGAAATTCATGTCATTGGCTTGAATTTCCTGACCAACGGGTCACCTCGCTTAATATTCTTTCAGCACCTAGGTACACGGGTCATCACGATGCATTTGCGTCGCCGGCAGTCTTTGCCACTCCGTGCGTTCAGGAACCGAACCTCGAGGAACACCAAATCCTGTCAAATCCGCAACCCGTCTTCCAATCGGATGATTTGGGTCCAAAAAAGCACATATATATACACGTTTCAAACTCGGAACAGGTCCGCTTCCGAAACATCCAGGCCACTCTGTCCGAATGCTTGGTCTTTGCAAGCTGAGCTTCAATCTCACATTCTGCCTCTCGACTAAGTCCACTCCTTATTACGGATTACTCTTTCAATGAAGATGCTGCTGCTGGCTTGAAATGCACCTTGGCTTGTCAAGAAAAGAGGCAAAGTGGTTGCAATATTGAAAGTGCATGGACAAAAATCCGAGCCGTACAATCTGGCATTGCATTTGGATCTTGAGATCGCTGGTGACTACTGGCTACAAAGGCTGTAGGTTCAGGACTTCAAATACATCAAGAATCTGTGGCGACTCGTGCTTTCGAGGTCTAGTGGTGCTTGAATGCAGCCTCTTGCTGGCAAAGGGGCATTCGAGGGCATTCAGGCATGCAGGGGGCAAAATAAGTACAGGACGAACAACAGGTAGAGTACAGCCAGCCCAAACAAGTAAGAGCAGCTAAAGGCCAAGAAAGGACCTCTGTAATTACAAACAAGGCACAGCGTATTCCAGCTCCCCTTTGTCTCCATCTTTCAAGAGATCTTTGTGGCTGTGCCAAGCCTGGACTGCCACATGTTGGAGATTGTTGGATTGCGTGAGAGTGCAGAACCTATTGTCTCTCGAGTGGCCTAGCAGCACAAGAACGAGCTGCGCTTTTCTCAAAGGTTGTTCGCAGACCTCCTTCCTTCGCTTCCTTTCTACCTTCACTGCTTTCAAGTGACGTTTGGGGTCAGCGATCGGAAATCCAGGCTTGTTCTTCCTCAGTTGGCAGTGGATGGCTGATGCCAAAGAGCGATGCGTACGAACTTTAAGATAATGACCCAGGCTGTCGTCTCGGAAATGATTCCTCGGTCAGGGCAAGCAAAGCCGAACAGGCTAGGGCTAGCACCTCAATATGTTGTGGTCCTAGTCGAGTATGACTCTCGCAGCTGGCATCTGTAATTCAACGAGTCTTGTGCATCATGTACAGTAGTCAGTTATCCTGTACTGTCCAACTAGGAGCAAGGACGCTACTAGTAGCAAAGGGCATCGCTACTAGGAGCAAGGACGCTACTAGGGGCTCCTGCACCGTCCAACTAAAGGAAACTCCGAGGGATGAAAAGGTGGAGGCTTCACAACAAAATGAACCTCGTAGCTGAAGTGTGCAACTAATGACCGTCAATTCCCCAAAATAACTTTGATGCCCAAGCTGCGAATTCTTCACCTCCAGCTCGAGCAATTTATCCTCCTCTGTCACCGTCCTGTGAGCGATCAACTCAAAAAGCATGGTGTGCGTGTCTCCGCGTCTCTGTGTGTGTGTGCGCGCGTGTGCGTGTGCGTGTGAATTGTTAAAGGAGTCCAAGACTTGAACGGACAGTTCAAACATCCCAAATTCAACAATGGTCAGTGATTCGGAAACAAGCCGGCCGCACAAAGTGAACCTGTTGTCAGCCTCCCATACAGGGTTCAAGTTGTTGTTGATCACCTCAGACATTTGCATCATTGCAAGAAGGGCCAAAGGGCAGCTTTGCTTGCTCCGCTTCAAAGGCCCGGCCAAACACCTATGCTGGCTCAACTACAGCATCAGAAGCTGTGTTACTTCAATAATCTTGAACCAATGTGCAAACCCCGACACACAATCACACACACAAACGCTGAGCCGAATGCCGGGGTGGTGAATTCCTGTCAGCAAAATGCAAATACTAAAATGTTTATCCTTGCCCCTGCCAACATAGTGGTACAAAGCACAGCAATAGTACAGTAAAGTGATGTGAAGTGAAATGTCTCGAACTATCCACCTTATTACAAGCCTTCCCACTGTTTGCAATTGACACATCTTTCATATTACAACCATGCTCGCCTCAGAAAATGTGCGACTACAAAAGAGAGGAGTGCTTCCTCTGTCGTTGCCACCTCCAATCATGGAATCGCGCCTGCCCACCCAGTCGCACCACAACGTAGGGGTCGGAGACGTCTCCCAAAAGCCCAGTGTCCGTGTTAGTCAGGTTGTAAGCGGCCTGGAAGCATTCCCAACCCACTCTCGAAGCTGCTGTAAGCAACTTCTCCTGCAGTAATGCCAGTAGGTTGCAAAAGGTTGCAACACTTTTTGATTGTTGCAATGCAAGATGTGTCCAGACTTCCACTTGCCTGCACTGCCAAGAAAAGCGTCCCAGGAGACAACAATGGTGGCTTTTCAGCTGGGGGAGGACCGGGAGGATCAGGCAAAGAGCTTCGGGTCGCATCGACCTGCAGGTTTTGGAAAGTCCAGGCACAAGGCAGTGGCCTCCACCCTAGTAGCGATGCTCCACCCTAGTAGCGATGGCCTCCAACTAGCGATAGCCTCCAACCTACTAGCAATGATGCAGGTCTAAGTGTACCCAGATTCGTGTAGCAAAGGCTGGGGGGTTGAGGGTTACGATGGGCTACGATATCGAGTTTTGACTCACACGTCTGAGGTTCAGTCACTTCACCGAACCTGCTGTCTCCAATCGATCTGACCCGAAGCCACATCAAAGTATTTTCTGTGCAGCTCCTCAGCAACTAAGTTCCAGTTCTCCAGCATCTTTATGCGTACTGAACAAAGCAAGCCTACGTCGTTTCCCCATGTACATCCTCCGAGCTGCGTAATCAAGCATCTGCAGCTTTTCCTGAAGAGCAAGGCTAGAATGGCAAACATGTTGGGCTCGGAACTTGCGCAACCAACGGAGAATGGAAATGAGAGTGACCAACAATAGTGATGCAACTGTTCATCAGTCCAAAATCACACGGAGCAGGGAAGGTACTCGCCTGTGTCTCCTTGGTCTGGTACTGCAAGGTTAACTCTCCAGCCTCTTTGGAGATATTGAATTTTCTTCCTCGAACCATGCTTGGCATCTCTCGAGTCAATTTCTGTTACTACGCAGTAAATCCTTATTATTTTTTCGATTTGATACCTTGTTGGAAACTTCCCAAAGTCTTCGAAGCAAACACGGCCATGAGTTAATGCTGCTGACAAGCCAAGAAACGCATGGCTGCCTGGCCGCCGATTAGTTCGATACGTCGGAGGCAGTCGGAAAGAAATCCCCGCGATCCGCGGTCAGCGTGACCGCGATCCAGGGCGATGTTCGTTGCAACACCAATCGCGCTTTTTCATAGCGTGAAGGAGTTTGTACTCTCAGGACCCTTCTCTTGATTCAAAAAAAGACACAATTATAGCTAGTAGTAACAAGTGCATCGCTAGTAGTAACAGGTGCCTTACTAGTAGTAACAAGAAGCTAATAGAAACAAATGCTGAATACTTGGGAAGTCTCAGAACTTGAAGGAAGAAGACGGCCGAAGAACAGTCCCACTAACAGTCCCCTACAGACAGAAACGCCGCAGCCAGCACCTAAGCCTGTTGGAGAACAAAACAATTTGGATGTCGGAAGTGCAGTGAGAAGATTGGACCATGAGCTGCTGGGGTGTAGTTTCGCCTGCTGCAAGGCCAGAAGCTGTTCATCATGCCGGCGATCAATCTCCATCTCCTGCTTGAGGAGCTCCTGTGAAGGGCTTTAGTGGCAGACCTTGAGTGCAAATGTGGTTGGACATCATTGAGCATCAAACTGTTTGCTTGGCCGCTGGACATCTACAGCATCGGCAAAAGAAATTGTGTCCTCATGGCCTCAACATAGAGGTGAAACTCACGCTGAAACCAATTACCGACTACTTGCAGCTCCCAGCCTGGTCAATAGTGGCATGGGCTTGCCTGCGTGTGATATGCTGCAAAATCAGTTCTTCCCTCCAGTGTTGTTTCAACAAAGCAAAAGGAGTGCAAGTGATTTACCCCGCCTTTTGCACTGGTCATTTTTGGCACGCAAGTATTCCAGATTGGCTTGGTGCTTCTGTGTGAGCGTCTGAACTCGTTGCCGAACTTGCTCCTTCGCATTTTGTTTCAAGAAGCTGCAAGCAACTGTCACAATGTAATTGTAGTACATGGAGGAGTTGACATAAAAATATCATAAAAAGATCCATCTACACCTTTTCCAGTATTACCCAAAAAACACATATGGTTGATTCCAGAACCCAGCCGCAAGGCAACACTGCAAAAAGACAACTTCCTGCAAACCTGTCTAAATCTGTCTACCAAGGTCACTTTCAACAAACACTGGAGATGAGAGACGACTTTCACTTAATAGATCAAACATCTAGCTTGACTGTTCGCAGCTGCTATCCGGGAAGTGCTGAGTCACTCCTGCAATGACTTGAGGTATTCCTTCTTCCTTGGCTCTCCACATTCGGTATGCAATAAAAGGAGCGAGTGTCACAGCCCCGTGGAGGCAGGATTGACAAACTGGTTTAAATCGTGTTGTCCTCGATTTTCCGGAAATTGACACCGCAATGTTCCCTTCACCGCTTTTCACCTGAATCTTGTTCCTGAATGCCGGACTATTCGAGGCCTCCTAGCTGCAGACCTTTGGGAGAAGGCTGATGCTAGTGCAACGCGGAAGCTTGGACTCCGAAGGCCCGGATTGGCTACGGGGAGGCAGCGAGACCAGGTGTCACCCAGTGTCTCTCTCCAAATCTTCTTTTGGGCATGAGACCAGGTGAAATGCGTTGGAAGTTGGCGGTTATAAGAAAGCTGGACCATCCCATCAATTCCAACAACCTGAAGCAGAGGCGGCAGAGGATCATCCGAATAACTAAGGTGCATCCTTCTGATGTTCAAAATACCTGCCATTCACAGGGGCTCCTTGATTTTCTGCAGGACATTTCGACGAATTTATCTTGTTTGAGGTTCACCCTCCTAATTTCATTGCTTTACGGAACCGCGGGCACGCTCACCCGACTTTAGTCTGATCTTGCCATGTCAATGCCACTTCTGGCAGTCTTCTAGGGTAAATGTCTTTCAAATCTCGAGCTCAAGGTGAAGCAAGCTCATAAGATATCATTGTGGATTTAGTCTCATACAGGGAGATTCAGATTGCTCAGTGCGAGCACAAGCAAGGAAACTCGCTGGAGTTCGCTGAAGTACACAGTGAGGTGGATCATTCTGAGGCAAGCAGTCGCAAGCATGATGCCTCACTGATCGAATCCAAGGATGCACTATTGCGTGTAGCACAAGGGAGACTAAACATGGCCAACCTGCAGATGCGTCTGCCATGGCCTTTGAATGATGGTTACATTTGATTGTCTGGCGCTGACGGCCCCATCATTCCAAATAGCAACAGCTTGCAAATCTGGTGCGACGGCGGGTCTACCGACACTTGCACAATCACAAAAAAGTACAGGAATTTAAACTATACTGGAATAGATTTCTTCCCAAGGCGCGTTTTGATGCACACTGTAAGGGGCAACGGAAAAAATGTGACCAGCCCGAGAGAAAGATTTCGAGTGGAAAATGACCCGTGATGTGAGGTTCAGAGGGTTTCTGAAACATTTCACCAGTGCCTCAGCTCTTCCAACTGTGCTGCCATGCCTCCTCGCTTCCACTCGGTCAGGGTCAGGAAAGCCATCCAGAAGGCTTGGGGGAGGCAAGGGCGGACTGCCCTTGGTCCCAATTTGGACAAGCATAATGCATGTTTTGCAAAACATCGTGAAACAAAAGTAACAATGTTCGCTACTAGGGGCTCCTGGCATCGCTACTAGGAGCAAGGACGCTACTAGGGGCTCCTGGCCTTACTACTAGGAGCAAGGACGCTACTAGGAGCACCTATGCACCAGCATAACACATTTTTGGGCTGAGAAAAGCTACCAGCTCTGGTTTGTTCACATCTCTCACTGTGGTGGCTAACTAAGGGCTTCACCAGGAGCTGGCCTGCTTCGAATGAGGTTGACACCACACTGAATGCTCATCTCAGTGTTCCATTAAATTAAATGATGTCACGTTTGCCAGGAACTGCTCTGCCTGAAGTCAACGGCACACTTTGCGCGTTGCCTGGTGCAGAAAGAAAGAGACTGCAATGACATTTAAGTTCCCAAGCGTAAACTTGCCTCTCCCGGGCAGATCAACTGAGCAAACAATGCTCGCACACCCTTTGCTTTCACCTATCTACAGTTTGTCCGCCGGGTTGCATTGGTTAAAAGGCTTCTTGTATAAACGTCTAGAGTCTACTGATGTTGAATGTTGTTGACAACTCGCTTGCTTTGTAAACATCGCTGTCACTCTGGTGCGGCCTGACACCGCAAGAGCCTCTGCACTTGGCAAGGGCACAGCTGGCACAGCTAGCGTCATGGCCGACGCTCAGTCCAGATGACTTTGGTCCATTAATACATCTGAGGTGAAGATTTCTGAAGGTTAAATACTGCATGCCTTGTGCCATTGTCTATAAAACGCATAGAATTATGTATACACGACATACCTTATATTATATAATATGTATACTATTATGTTCATCACCTTTCTACAAATCTTGTTGAACATCCTACTACCAATTTATAAGATTCTGCAGCGGTTTCTGTGCGCATTCCAACCAAGACTTCGAGCCTTAGCTTCAGGTGATGATAGAATTCTCGTTGGACAAAGCTGCTGGTGACAAAGTACGCCCTGTTTCAAGACTGCCAAACGATTGATAAACCTGTCAAAGGATGTTAAAGGCTGTTAAAGGTGAGAATTGCAGCTGTCACGCTCTGAAGAAGACAAGCCTGGACGAGCCAACCCATGTTGTACTCCATTTTGCACTGAGTGAACCGGATAGAGTCCTGAGGCTAGGCGATAGGAGTCGTGTATCAGATTGCAGCAAAGGGTGTCGGTGTTGCATACTCTTGGTGTGTTTTGACGAAGGTTGTGGAAGATATACTGCACGACCAGCCCACTCAGTCCTGCTGCTTCTTTGGTAGCCCAGCATAGGACGGGAGAGCATGTGAATGATGATCCAAAACATAACCTCGGAGCTCGCTTGTACCATGCACATGATCTGTGGGCTTTGGTGCAGGAAAGCTCAGGATACTTTATGCCTTGTGAAATCACCCGGTATACCCTCATGCATGGCGTTAGTCTGTACATGTCAGAGTAGGTGTGCACTGACATATTGCATGTTGTTTCTTGATCATACATTCAGAATACATAATCCTCACTGATAAGAAAGCAGAGTGAGATGCATCCTACATTCTATCTCCTCGACTCAAAGGGCAAACTCACAGGCCCAGCTTAAGTCGACACAACAAAAGCTGTGCAAAAGTTGGAGCTGTGCGGAGGCAGCACAATGAGGCATGATGTGTCAGTCCGAAACGAAATAAACAGACTCAGCAAAATCTTGATCATTGAAAACGTCTAGGCCAGCAACCCAAAGCTATGTCGTGATCATAGATGCGTTCGCCCGCCTGATCAAAACATGGTCACACATTTCACGGTGAAATGCGCGTTGTTCATAGTAGTTCCATGTCGTTCCACAGGGCCTTGTAGCCGCGGTAAGGCGCAAATTTTTCATGCACCCGCGGGACGATGGCGACCTGGATGACGCATAGCAACCGGGGCTTGCAGGTCTCACTGACGCATCTCCAGTATGAGTATCTTTGACAGAGAGTAAAGAAAAAGAGAAACATACAAGTGGAACACATTTATAGAAAAGGAACGTGTTTGAGCCCTTTTTTGCCAGGCCCCTTTGACTTCAGACACACTTTCTTCAATGTGTAATGACCCCGCCACCAGGGCTCAATAAGGCTCTCACAACCTTCATGATGTCATGGATCGCTGTAAGAACCTTGACATGAATGCTTCATCGTCAAGAAATCACAGCAGCCGTAAGAAACCCATGCATCGGTTTATCGCTACTAGGAACAAGTGCATCGCTACTAGTAACAAGTGCCTTACTAGTAGTAACTAGAAGCTATTAGAAACAAGTGCCTTACTACTAGTAACAATAAGTATTTATCTGGTGTCAGTTCGGAACAGTTACACCTCTTTGAGGGGGACACAGCACAAAATGGAGACCTACTCATCGACCCCACAACTTTTTGAAACACCAGGGCCAAGGAACGTGCTTTTCATCCCCAGAACCTTGAACAACCCAGGTGTATCTGACTGCACCTACTCATCTTTGTTGAAGGCATCCCCACTGCAGTATGTCTTTCGTGTGCCTTTTCTTGTCGAGTCGTGTCATCCAAGGACACGGGCCAACATCGCGAGGACGCGCTCCTCATCGTGACCTGCTTCAAAGCTTGGGCTCTATTCGAAGCCTATTCCGTCGTGCAACTGGAATTGAAATCACCGAATTGAAAACAATAGCTTGAACTGCTCATGTCTGGATTTCCATGTCCTTTTGTGGTGCTTAAAGCTTCTTAGGCATGTGCCTTGGACACCCTCACACAGCAGCCCGGCATCTCTCCTTTCGAGTCCGGATCGCAATCTTTCGGCACAACTGAAATGCTGCCAATTGTTTGCCATTTTTTCCATGGAAATCCTGTCAAAACGCTTTCTTGGCAGCAACTGGACTGGACTGAGTGCCACACAGCAAATCATCTATCCTGTCCCATTCCACCTGGCCACAACTGAACTCACCTGAGAACGTTTCGGAGGAATGGAAAGCCAGGCCTCAGTGAAGAAGCTCTGCCTGCCACGATGTTTCCGGACATCTCAAGTTCATGAAAATGGAAATGGATCAGGTTCAATCTGCAGCTATTACTAGGGGCTCCTGGCCTTACTACTAGGAGCAAGGATGCTAGGGGCTCCTGGCATCGCTACTATTTGCCTCTAGTTCTTCGGCACCCACCGAACCCCAAAACCAAATGGCCAGGCCTCTTCATGCACTCCTCTTCGGTTCGTCGGGGGTGCTTGGACCGGGCATTCCTTAGCACCGTCAAAAGGCTGAGAGAGGCCAGCAGCTTGTTTCTGAAAAAGGGTATTTTTCGTAAGGAACTGTTGGGCGAGCAACTTCTATTTACTAAGTTGAGCATGGCAAGTCTAGACAAAATTATACCAGCGTAGACCCCAAACAGAGCAATGTTCAAAAATGAGATCTCCGAACAATATGGCCAGCAGTATTTCCTAGAGGAAGAAAACTGTAGTCCACCATGTAGACGCACATACAAGATTCAAAGGGAAAGCATTAAAATTCTGTTTTTCATTGACTTTACAATGGGACGCCGTACAAGGGCTAAAACATGAAATTTATGGATCCAGGTTGTGACATATGTTGCCCCCCTTGCAAACACGAATGCGCAGACCCAATGTAATCCGAGACATATGGGAGACAAGTGTGAAATCATGCGGCCAGAGCACTCAGAGCATCCAGAGCTTACTGGGAGACAAGTGGGAGACAAGTGTGAAATCATGCGGCCAGAGCACTCAGAGCATCCAGAGCTTACTGGGAGTCAAGTGGGAAACAAATGGGAGACAAATGGCAGACAAGTGTGAAATCATGTGGCCAGAGCACTAGAGCATCCAGAGCTTACTGGGAGACAAGTGGGAGACAAGTCTGAAATCATGCGGCCAGGGCACTCAGAGCATCCAGAGCTTACTGGGAGACAAGTGGGAGACAAATGGAAGACAAGTATGAAATCATGCGGCCAGAGCACTGAGAGCATCCAGAGCTTACTGGGAGACAAGTGGGAGACAAATGGGAGACAAGCGTCAGAGCATCCAGAGCTTACTGGGAGACAAGTGGGAAACAAATGGGACACAAGTATATAATCATGCGGCGGGGGAGACAAGTGGGAGACAAGTGTGAAATCATGCGGCCAGAGCACTC